TCAACTGATTTTTGATAAGGGGTACTAGTCAATCCAGTGGGAAAAGGAAAACCTCTTCAGCAAATGGTGCTGGAAAAACTGGATTTCCACCTGCAGAAAGATGAATCTGAACACCTACTTCTCACCATTGACAAAAATCAACTCAAGGTGGATCAAAGATCTAAATTTAAAACCTCAAACTATAAAACTGCTCCTGGAAAACACTGGGGAAACTCTGGGAGCCATTGGGATAGGCAAAGACATTTTAAATAAGACCTCCAAAGTATAGTCGATAATCCCCAAAATAGACAAGTGGGATTACATCAGACTAAGAAATTTCTGCATGACCAAAGACACAGTAGTTAGTGTGAATGGACAGCCCTCAGAATTGGAAAATACTTTTGTAAACTATGCATCAGATAAGGGGCTGATAACCAGACTACACAAGGAACTCAAGCAGCTATTCTGAAAAAAGATGGTTAACCCTATTAACAGATGGAGAATGAGTTGGGAAAAAAACAAAAACAAAAACAAAAACAAAAACACTCTCTAAGGATGACATATGAATAGGCAAAAGGCATATGAAAAAATGCTCACATCCCTCATTGTAAGGGAAATGCAGATCAAAACAACAATGAGATACCACTTAGCCCCAGTCAGAATGACTAAGATTAAAAAAAACAAAAAATGATACATGCTGGCTGGGTATGGTGAAAGGGGAACTCTCTTACACTGCTGGTGGGAATGTAAATTGGTCTAGCCACTGTGGAGAACAATTTGGAGCTTCCTCAAAAATCTACAAATATAACTATGATATGATCCAGCAATCCCAATCCTTGGTATCTACCCAAAGGATAGAAGAATTCTTAATTGGAAAAGTGCTTGCACATCGATGTTTATTATGTCACTATTCACAATTGGTCATGGCATGGCATTCACCGATTTGAGTGAGAGTGAGGGCTGGACAGTTCACTGGTGTGTCTAGAGTGATGGTTTCTTTTTCTTTTCTTTCTTATTTTTTTCCTCTTTGTTTCTCTTCTGTTTTCTTGATTTATTGGTTTGCTCTTTCTTTGTTGTGGTGGTTTGTAAAGGGCCATGAGAACATCACACTGGATGGGATTATTCAGTATGGAGTTGAATTTCTGATTGGCTAAACATGTGATCACTCAGAAAATTATGACTCAAGGCTGTAGCGGGTACATGTGTCTTTACCAGCATGATCTCCGTGTGTATTCTGCCAATATCAGAGATGCTCGCATTGTAGTTGAAGGGCACAAACTTTTGTATATAATACTAGTGTGAAAACAGGAGTTAGGGGCAGAGGTACAATAATGTTATTGAGAAAGCTTCCACCTGCTCCTATTTCCTGCCCACGTTTACTTCTCAAGAGGGAAACAGTTTGAGGAGAAATCATTGGTTTCTACTGGGCCTTCCCTGATGGCAATCCTTCCAACCCAGCCTCTCAAGGAAAGATTCATTGATTTGTTTTTTATTTTGAGTCCTTTATATTTGTGTGTGAAATGCAGATTGAGCTGCATTTTTACTAGCTGTCTTTATTATAATTGAAGGGGATGGTAGTAGGAGGGATTTTGAATTCTGATGCTATTGTTCTGTGAGAAATAGAAATGCTCTTGTAGCCTTATGCATGAGCCAAATTGCCTGATTTCATTGCATGTCATGTGGTTTTGGCTGATTCCTGGACACAGCAAACCTTGTGGCATGAGCCTTGTGGACATGGGATGCTCACTTAGTTGTGTACACCTGCTTGCTCTTGTTTTTTTCTTCAGTGATTTTCTTAAATTGGTGTCATCTGTCATGGGTTGCTGATAAAATCTATTCTGGGTCAGAGAAAGTTGTTTAGAGAGTTCCTTACACATCAAAAGCCGACAGGTCTGTCCTTGGCTGTGGTGCACTGTGTCCAAGAGGAGACATGGGTTCCCCGCTCGGTTTTACTATAAACAGCCCTGCTTAGCCTTTACGTCGTGCTAACTCAGTGTTGAGATCAGCACAAATAAGAGGTGAGAGTGTCCTGGAATGTTACATGAGCGTGCATGTTGTCCTTTGGGTGTGCATGTCTTTTGAGCTTCCCAGGAATATTTAAGAACTTATGGAAGTTCCAGCATTGGCACGGTGAGTGGTGAAGCATCCAAACATGAGGTGGTGGAGCTTTCCCAGGTAGGGCGGTATCAGGTTTATGTCCCAATTTCTCCATGAGCAGGCCCAATAGTCCTGTGACAGATATCTGAGGTAGCCTGGTGCTGGGAATAAATGATGACCCCGAGACCTATCTGGGATATCATTTCTATTCTCTCCTTCCCTGTCTATATCTCTGTCTCTCTCTGTCTCTACTTGGTTGTCCCAAGATCATGGTAATTCAAGGGAAACACCAGTGCCGTGCCTCAACCTATGCCCCCTTGAAACCTTCATTCTCTTGCTTGTCCTTTGATGGTTCTTGCTCTTGTTTACTGTATGGTTTTCCTGTACTAGACTGACCAGTCTCTGAATGATGTGTCATGAAGCAATTACCTCTACATGTTTAGAGCCAAACTCCTAGGGAGAAGGCTTTGGCCACTTAGCAAGATTGATTCACCTCATGGAGATGGCCTTGCAAGATGGACTTCCTGGGAAGCCTCTGAGAGATGAAGTCATGGCAATTCTCCAGAAATGAAATTTGAAACTCTTGACATGTCCTGTTCTTGCCTGCGGCTGTCAGGCAGAGATACTACCTATTGTTAGAGGCAGGTGGACTTTTAAGGGACTGAAAAATGAAGCGTCATAGGCATGAACACTACTTGTTGGATACCAGATCAAAATAGAAAAAGCTATGAATCCTTCTGAGGGAATTCTACGAAGTGACCAGTTAATGATTGCTCCACACAGCAGCAGTTTCACAGGTGGAGCATTGCAAGTAACACATGCACGGTGTCAGGTCTTCCAAGACAGTGGAAATATTCCCAGCTAAAAGAGAGATTCTCAGTCTATATGGTCGTAAATGTTGGCTGGATACAATGAGGCAGGGGGAAGTGGTGCTCACAAGGCACCATCCAGGATTCAAAAGCTCGGCTGTTTATTGTGAACCCTGGAG